TTTGTAATCAGTATAGGAAGTAGGGGTAGTGTCACACATTTGTTGTAAGTTGTATTGATCGGTTTGTAATCAGTATAGGGAAGTAAGGGTAGTGTCACACATTTGTTGTAAGTTGTATTGATCGGGTTGTAATCAGTATAGGGAAGTAGGGGTAGTGTCACACATTTGTTGTAAGTTGTATTGATCGGGTTGTAATCAGTATAGGGAAGTAGGGGTAGTGTCACACATTTGTTGTAAGTTGTATTGATCGGTTTGTAATCAGTATAGGGAAGTAGGGGTAGTGTCACACATTTGTTGTAAGTTGTATTGATCGGTTTGTAATCAGTATAGGGAAGTAGGGGTAGTGTCACACATTTGTTGTAAGTTGCATTGATCGGTTTGTAATCAGTATAGGGAAGTAGGGGTAGTGTCACAAATTTGTTGTAAGTTGTATTGATCGGTTTGTAATCAGTATAGGGAAGTAGGGGTAGTGTCACAAATATGTTGTAAGTTGTATCGATCGGTTTGTAATCAGTATAGGGAAGTACGGGTAGTGTCACACATTTGTTGTAAGTTGTATTGATAGGTTTGTAATCAGTATAGGGAAGTAGGAGTGGTGTCACACATTTGTTGTAAGTTGTATTGATCGGTTTGCAATCAGTATAGGGAAGTAGGGGTAGTGTCACACATTTGTTGTAAGTTGTATTGATCGGTTTGTAATCAGTATAGGGAAGTAGGAGTGGTGTCACAAATTGGTTGTAAGTTGTATTGATCGGTTTGTAATCAGTATAGGGAAGTAGTGGTAGTGTCACAAATTTGTTGTAAGTTGTATTGATCGGTTTGCAATCAGTATAGGGAAGTAGTGGTAGTGTCACAAATTGGTTGTAAGTTGTATTGATCGGTTTGTAATCAGTATAGGAAGTAGGGGTTGTAGTGTCACAAATTTGTTGAGTCAGTTAGGGAAGCTGCTTTGGCTGCATTCTCTTCCCACAGAGAGGTTATGTGTCATATCTCCCTACGAAGATATGACAAGTAACCTCTGTGGGAAGAGAATGCTTTGGCTGCAGCATCAGCCATATTGTTACAAGGAATTCCAACACGGTTGGGTAACCAACGAAAAACGATGTCGTATTGGCCAATAGCAAGAACGTTGAATAGTTCAGTAATTACTATTAAAAGTGGATGTTTAGAAGACATGTCTTTAATAGCCTGGGATATATGACCAACTGTGAATGTGTATATTTAGACTGGCTACTCATATATTATTGGGCTGTTCATATTGCATTAGCCCCTGCTGTAAAACTGGAGCCGTCATTCGAGTTATTTTGAAGAAATTGTTCTGGATCCAATGGCAGTAGCACTAGCAATGCTGCCACCATCCTTTGTTGCCACCATCCAACTTGTTTCATTTAAGAATACAATTGTTAATTACAGCACATTTCTTTGCTGCCTGTTAGATTCAAACATAGTGCTCTACTGATTCCCAGTTTACTTTTTAGTTTCAACTTGGGAATTGAAACGAAACAACTATATTTCATATCATCAAAAAAAAAAACCTTTATGAGACCATGGCTCAACCAGTGTGATCTTAAAATGTAATTCTCTCACTAGGGGAGTAGTACCATATACCATATACCACATCAAAGCGTCGCATCGCGAAAGGAATGCATCGGACGAAATTCTTTATTTCGGTCTCTTAATCTTCAGTCTCAGTATTTTCGAGAGTATCTTTTGTCAACACCACACTTTGCCCGTCTGGCTGCACTAAAGGACTTCCTGTAAATGAAAAGTGAGTGAATGAGTGACCGAATTTCGTTTCACACCGTTTTCAACAGTAAGGGAGAGAATCGATGTGTGTAATATCCTGTATGATAAGGGATACAACAGTCAAGAGCTTCTTCATGAATACTAGGTTGTGGATTGAGGGAGTGAGTGTATAGTGAACATTTATATCTGCTCTGATACCTACTTTTGAGGGTATATTTGTGAGTGAGTGAGTGTGCCTTTACGCCGCTGTTAGCAATATTCCAGCAATATCACGGCGTGGGACACAAGAAATGAACCCAACTATGCACGTAGCAAGCCCGGTAGGTTGCAAAGCTTTAGATTTAGGTAGTATTAAGGGCTTGCCTACCTTCATTTTTTATGAGACCTGAAGTGTTATTGTTTGACGTTTGATGATTTTAATAACTTCAAAATGTTATCAATATTTTGAAATCATAAGGAGAACTTAGAGTAGTCTACCATTAATGCAGACAGAATAATCATTTGATTGAAATATGACTTTCTCATATCCGAACATGTTTTGACATTGTTTAACACATGTTTACTGATACAATACCATGCATCGAGTATTTGTTTTTGGTTGTTTTTTCTAAATGATTGTAAAATACCTGCATTTCAGTTATGATCCACATATAACCATGACTGTAAGAGGGATTACCATTTTTTTATTGTTCTGGTAACGTGTTTCTGGATATTTTTATAAAACATCATGTGTAAGCCGGCTTTTTTTTATAATGGTAGCTACGCCCCTGCCAACCATTGTGGAAATCGACCCCGATGGTCCCCGAGAGAGAGAGTCCCCGAGAGAGGATAACGTACAAGAAATTGATCTGAAAAGATTAAAACAAACTATGATCTCGCACCACTAAAAACCTGGGTTGGAATTGGTCTTCAGCAACCCGAGAAAGGCAACAGACGGCATCGGATGATCAATCATGCTGCCGATAAGATTGATGACTGCCATGGTATCCCAACTGCGTAGATCAATGCGCATAGTCAGTCAATGGATTGTCTGGTCCATGTTCCCTTATGAGGCGGCCGCCATTAAGCTAGATGATAGAGAGTTGCGGCATTACACACGAAAATTCTTTACAATGGGTTAATTAGAAATAGTGAGTGGGTGAATGAGTATGGTTGTACGCCACTTTTAGCAATATTCCAACAATATCATTCACAAGTACTGGGCTGTGTGTGTGTATGTGTATTATTGATTGTGTGTTGGGGTTGTTTTGTAGGGTTAGCCATTTTGTACATGGAAATATGATGGAAAATAATTTCATTTTGCGCATGCGCAGGTTTTGTTTTTTGTTGTTTTACACCGCACTCAGCAGTATTCCTGCTATACCGCACTCAGCGGTATTCCTGCTATACCGCACTCAGCTGTATTCCTGCGATACCGCACTCACCGGTATTCCTGCTATACCGTACTCAGCGGTATTCCTGCTATACCGCACTCAGCAGTATTCCTGCTACATGGCACTCAGCGGTATTCCTGCTATACGGCATTCAGCGGTATTCCTGCTATACGGCACTCAGCGGTATTCCTGCTATATACCGCACTCAGCGGTATTCCCGCTATACCGCACTCAGCGGTATTCCTGCTAAACGGCACTCAGCAGTATTCCTGCTACACCGCACTCAGCAGTATTCCTGCTACACCGCACTCAGCACTATTCCTAGTACAGAATGATAACCATCGCAAAGCATACGGCTATACCGCACTCAGCACTCAGCAGTATTCCTGCTACACCGCACTCAGCGGTATTCCTGCTACACCGCACTCAGCAGTATTCCTGCTACACCGCACTCAGCAGTATTCCTGCTACACCGCACTCAGCGGTATTCCTGCTACACCGCACTCAGCAGTATTCCTGCTACACCGCACTCAGCGGTATTCCTGCTACACCGCACTCAGCAGTATTCCTGCTACACCCCACTCAGCAGTATTCCTGCTACACCGCACTCAGCAGTATTCCTGCTACACCGCACTCAGCAGTATTCCTGCCACACCGCACTCAGCAGTATTCCTGCTATACCGCACTCAGCAGTATTCCTGCTACACCGCACTCAGCACTATTCCTGCTACACCGCACTCAGCACTATTCCTAGTACAGAATGATAACCATCGCAAAGCACACGCGCGTGATAACCTATATATATGTACTGTGCCGAAAATAAAGTGGAATTTTGTTTTGAGGCGAAACTACTGGACCATACACCAATGAAATCTATTGAATCCTGTAACAAGGCATAACGGAACAAATGAACTCCAAATCACAACATTGTAGAATCATGAAGCACGTGACCTCGGCGAGGAGATGGGTCTTATGCCACATTTACCATTGTCCCCCAGACTCGGTTGTAAAAGGACATGTATTCTTAGAACTACATTGATCATATAACAACGTATGGTATGGATTTACAGCTTCTCTAATATTTACAAGTGGCTTCCAATCAATCCTATAATGTTTATCCTTTTCATTGTATAGACATTCTGTACATCCATTGTATAAACATACCACTTATCTCTTTGAACTGCAAATCTCAATCAAAGCCTAGAGGCCCATGAAGATCCAGGCCAAAACTGATCTTCAGTAACCCATGCTTGTAGTAAGAGGCGACTAATGAGATCGGGTGGTTAGGCTCGCTGACTTGGTGGACACATGTCATTGTATATCCCAATTGCATAGATCAATGCTCATGATGTTGATCACTTGATTGTCTGGTCCAGGCTCGCTTATTTACACACAGCAGACTGGCATGTTGCCGAGTGTGGCTTCAAACAACAAAGAAAAAAACCCAAAGTATTTCTGCTCCGGAATATTATATCACAACCAACTCATAGATACTTTACACGATGGTTTATTTCCGACTGTATACATGAGTTACATACAGACTGATTGGGATGAAACAACGGCGCTATCTAAGAAACTAACTATTAGAATTAAACAGCAAGACGCCTGGATGACATAATAATTTACAGAGCAATGTCTAGCACAGTCTACAAACTCGTCTAATTTTAAACATACATTGTAATGAGTGAAATGTTGTAACACCACTGTCAGCAATACATGGGTTTACTAAGATGATTTTAAACTAGCGTAATCTGGAAGAGGCACAAAGGGCATTGAAATCATCAGCACACCCAAATTCCATACGATCGTTCCCGGACTCTGCAACTCTTACTGCACTGGTTTACAGGTGGTAAATTTGAATCCGGAATCACCAGGACACATCAACAAAGATAATACATCAAACATCAGCAAAGATAATACATCACACATCAGCAAATATAATACATCACACAGCAGCAAAGATAATACATCACACATCAACAAAGATAATACATCACACAGCAGCAAAGATAATACATCACACAGCAATAATACATCACACAGCAGCAAAGATAATACATCACACAGCAGCAAAGTCTAGTGTTCCTCATAGCTAACGTAACCAAACTGCCCACTGGCTGGGCCCAAACGTCGATTATATATGAGTACAATGTGTGAAAATCACTGGCCTTTGTAATATAGCTGAGCTACTTCGAAAAGATCAAATGTTTGTCTTTGATTCGAGTCCACTTCCAACAAACAGGACAGGGGGGACTATGGGACAAGCCTACTTTATCACACACTCTTCAGTTTGGTTGCGGAGCGGGCGAGTGGTGTGCTTCTTACGTCATTAGCCATCCTCTCAATGTTCTTCATCTCTTGTTCCTGTATCGGTGAGTATTCTTTGTGTACCTCGTTCCCAGCCTTTGCGTATTTTGGAAACATATTTATCTACACACGGTAGAAGGAGTATCAGTTTCATAATGACAACGGAAATTGGAAGTATTAAACACAGGAAGCTGATGATTGTGAAGGATTCTGGAAATCCTGTCTCTATCCAACGGGGAAGACCCATGATCAGCACGTGCCCTGCTGAAACAAACAACAGTGTGAACCCCAGCGAGGACTGGACGAACCGCCACTCCCGCCAGTTCAAAGAATCGCTGACTGATGGCAACGTGGTGGTTGCTAGGAGACAGAGCAGGACGAAGGCTACGATACCGGCAAGACAAGCGGCCTCTCCCTTCCATATCATCACCGTCTTCATCGGAAGGTGAAGGTCGTTGGTATGATTCGCGGGTATTGTAATGGCGGTTGAATGAAACCACGAGCTGAAGTTTGCCGGTGTAATCAGTACCACTGACATGAGGACATGGGGTAATATCAAGATGAAACAAAGGACGCCAAGCTGTTTTCTTGACTTCAACCAAGCATCCAGCCATCTTGGAAACGGTTTGTGTTTTGTTCCATACCGTATCTGCATGAAAGCGGCGAAACATCCGGGCATGTAGGTCAAGGCCATTACTGTAATGGCCGTCGCACTAACGGGCTTGTTGAGAACTTTCAAGAACAGTTGATGATAACTGTATGTGTGTCTTATAAAACACAGATATATTGCGTAGAGAAACCAAATACCGAATATGATACACGTGAACAGCACTGGTATTTTCCATTGAGGGAATAGACGTGTGGCGTACGCCTCAATTCTCTGTGATGACGTCAACCTGCCAAGGTCAACCGGCACAAAGCCCATCTCACGTGCAAGGTTACTCACTCTGTCTCGTGCACTGACATCATTGCTGGCAACGAATATATTTCTACTTCCACCGGCAATGTCGTTTTCCATGATATAGGCTGAAGTGGTGTTGAATGCCTTGACCACGGTTGCTGTTGGTAGCAAAGACTGAAGGAACTCGGCGTTAGATGTCTTGTTTGAAGGGCTATCTCTGTTTGACACATCGATTACTATTATGTCGGTAAAGATGTCTGTCAGAGGTGCCAGTGTTTCCTGGAAGTGCTCTGCGTGAACAGCCACAAAGACCACCTCACACAGTCTCACACATTCTGTAACTGTGGTGAGCTGAATGTCACGGAGACATTCGTCATATTCTGACAATTTCCGCCTCGCTGGTTTTCTACTGCCGATGATGACGTCATAGCCAGAGAGGACCAACCGTTTAGCTAGAGATCTGCCGAAGGTGCCTGTTCCGACGATGCCAATTCTCCTGAAAGTTCGTGGTTCCATCTCAATCCTTTTGTCTTTGACGCTGTCGTTATCTGGGATGCTCTGGAAAAGGAAATTAAAGATATCAATTGTTTTACATGGCCATGTAATCCGTGTATTGTTTGTGCAGTCACAAGAAGTTTGATTACAGAGTTGTTTGGTTCATTTGTTGTCGTTTGTCAGGATAGAATAGAGGGATTGAATGTTACGGAACCTGTTACCATCGTTACTGGTTTGTTTGTTTGGTATTTATCGCCGCCCATAGCAATTATATTGTCCAGCCATTGGTGGAGGTCCGTAAATAATCTGAGTCTGAACCAGACAATGTAGTGAACAATATCATGAGCATCGGTCTGCAAATTTGGAAGTGGTTGAGAATTTAAGCGCCATTGATATATGTTGAATATTTGTTTGGAGCATTTGATTGTTGTCATAGTAGTGGTTTCATTATTCGACTGTGTGTGGTTGTTGTTGACTATTTGTTATTGAAGTTGTAGTGATGTTACAGTAATGGGGCCGTATTTATCAAACAACTTAAAAAAACTTGAGTCATTATATAAGTTTTCTCGTTTTTTTACTTAAGCTTTGTGGTTAAACTTAAGTCATATTATCAACAGACTTAGACTTAAGTTTTGTCTCATTTTTTGACTTAACTAATAAGACTCACCTTGCTAGGCTTAAATCAACCTGTTTTGACTGAAGTTATGTGAGACAAAATGGCTGCTACACGTATTCCAAGAGTATTTAATGAAAGAAGAGAAGCCCCTTTGTGAATACCAGCTACAGTTTTTGACTTGGCTAAGTCAGTCTTTTTTAGAAACTTAAGTTTTATCTTAAGTCAAAACTTAGTTGTTTGATAAATACGGCCCCTGGAGTGTGTGTTGTGATATAGTGTCGTCGTTCCATGACTAATCGTGTTTGGACAAGACATTCAGTGAATGGCACCATGAACATAGTTTTTCTTGTATTTTTGCTGTTTATATAGCAATATCCCAGCTATATGGCGGCGGTCTGTAAGTAATCGATTTTGGACCAGACAATCCAGTGATCAATAAAATCGACCAACGCAATCGGATACATAACATGTACTTTTATCAAGCAAGGAATCCAACCTAAATCAATCTCGTCGATCGCCCTTACCTAAAGCATTCTTTGCTGAAGAACGATAAGCTACATCTCCCCGGGGACTTGATTGTTCTTATTTTGGAATAGGCTCTTCCGTACTGTGTGTATGTATTTGGCTTTGGGCATTTGGCAGATTAAGTACTTAGCATGGTGTAATTTGTGCTAACTAGTCGAATATTGAATACGTGAACCGTGAATTTTCAGGTGCTGCTTCATGCCCATCACCCCCACCACCCCATCTCATCCGCCCCCTCCCTTTCACTTCCATCACCATAACTTGCTTGATAACCGTTTTAGCATGTACACCGCAGCGTGCTTGTCAAAAAAGAGTTTGGTTGATCCATAGAGAATCTCACCCAAGTGTCTTCTGATATCAATTATATCAACACGAGTTGATAAAGTTACAAAGTTGCCGAGGATATTTTTACTTTTATCAACGAGTGTTGATATATTTGATATCAGAAGACACGAGGGTGAGATTCTATTTATCATCCAAAATCACTCTTCATTAATTTTCAATTAAAAATGTACATCTCTGAACATGGTACTGCCATTAGACTTGCAGTGCAGCGATGTCATAGCATTGTGACGTCATCAAGTACATGACGTCATAGCATTGTCAGGGCATTGTACAAAATCTACTGTCAAAACGATATCTCCTAGGAGATATCGTTTGATCTCACACAAGCGATATCTCCTGTGGAACACAATTTTGGATGATAAACATATATCATCCACTGGATAAATTGCTAGTGTGAGGAGGTATCGTTTTGACAGTAGATTGTGTACAATGCCCTGACGTCATCAATTACATGACTTACAATGTTATGATAAATAGTACATAGGCAAGCCTCGGATATTTGTAACTTTATCAACTCGTGTTGATATAATTGATATCAGTACACTCTCTATATATCTTCCTCACTCCTCATGTTGTAGTGTTCAAATCGTCCTAACTCCTCATGTTGTAGTGTTCAATGCTTGGACGTAAGCTTACTTTGTTGATGTAGGGTTATCTTCAACCTGTCAAGTAAAGTTATCAGATGCTCAATTATCTTCACCAACCTTCGCAAGACCGCTTGTCATAACACATTAGCTGTTTATCAATAACAAGCTACTCTTATCAGTCTCACGCAGGATCTGAAAATCTGTTTGCTGGCAGTCTGTCCCTGATAGCAATGTTCGTTGGGGCAACATTGGCCAACGTAGGCCCAATGATGGCCAATGTTGGTCCACCATTGGCCCAACGGACATTGCTATCTGGGGTTAAGATACAGGAGGGTAGGATCTTGTTCTAGATAGTGTACTGTCACACACAGAAGTGGTTTGTTCAAACCTGAACGCTGGGTGTGCTTTACACTGAAGTAAATGTATAACATTCTCTGCAGACTATACTGAGAAATACGGTTTGGGTTGGAAGTCCATAATGTCCGTATTGACGATATGTTAATTACATAAATTGAAAATATTAAGGCCTCGCCCACTATTTGCTAAATGATGCCTGACTATTTTTTCCTGATTAACTGTCAATAAATCAGCCAGACTTTTGCATGCTACTATGTCCCAGATACCATGTTTTTAGGTTTTTTGGGTTTTTTTATTTTAAAGATTAAAAAAACATTCTAAGGTGTTGTTTCTAAGGTGTTGTCATACTTAATATATTGAAATGAATTGGCATTAATTCTTGAAAAATATGTTGCCATAGATGCATTATACAAAATAGTCTTCGCATGTGAGGAATTATGCTTATCGTGATATGTACACTGTTTCATATGCTTGTTTTCAACACATGCAAATAAAAGTCAATTCTTGATTGAGTTGTCAACGAACGCAATGATCGTTGTCCTGCTTTATAAAGTTACTTGTGGAGCCCATTTTAGGTGTTCCCCACCGAGATGTTGCTGCAATATTGCTAAAAGCAGCGTAAAGCTAAACCCAACCACCCTAAAGTTACCGTTAGCATGGCATTTGATGGAACTGAAATCCTACCTGGACACAGAAAGTCATTTCCGTTACAGCACAATCCCTCGTGGCGCGCGTGATATGAGCTGTGCAGCGCCTTTCCCTCGTGCAACACGTGTCACTTCGACTCCTCGTGCAGAATGAGGACGAATGTGTTCAAAACGATTCCCACGTGGAGCATGTGATGTCAGGTCCACCTCTGTTTTTTTCCTCGTGCACAACCTGATGTCAGTTTCAACACTAATCTCACGTGCAGTACGCTGTGAAATTCACCGCGGCCTCCTCGAACACAATAACGTGCGTGTTTCTTCGCGCTTGTCACGGTTGGAACTGCAACCAGTTGAGTCAACACGGAGAAGACCCCCGCCCCTGATTCAGATGCCTTATCTCTTATTTGCTGCTTATCTGATACAGGATGGGAAGTTTGAAATACAATACGCGACCACTATTAAGAAAGACCATCTTTGTGAGATTTGAGTGTCAGGAACTCTCATCCATCAACACAGAGGCCTCGTTTCTGATAAGCGGCATATTCTAGTCAGATAAAAATGGCAACTACTGAAATTGTCCGTTACCACACTGGTACCTTGTTTCAATCTGCAAACCTTCATGTGAAGGAGGTTACAACCACCTTCACATGTTTTTAGTTTGTTGATAAAGCATAATATTATGTTTCAAACATTTCTCAGGTCAATCAGTTCCTGCATGGTGCGGGCTTTTAAAAGCTGAAGAAGCAATGACCGTACTTCCTTCGTCCCGAAGTCTTTCTAGCAGTCCCCGAATCGCCCTAAGAGACCGTTCATAATTTATGGCTTTTGTGTGTGTGTGTGTGTGTGTGTACGTAAACATTATTAAAATATTATGCTTAAAAATTATGGGAAGGGGGGGTAATTGATTGTGTACATGCCATGCAGGGGGGTCACTTACTTACGTACATACATTTTAGGGGGGGGGGGGCGTCATTCACATTGTACATGCTTCTCCATAAAAATCATCATCAACCCCCTAGCAATAAATTATGAACGGTCCCTAAATAAGGCAAAATCTAGATTTCCTCCGTTTCAGAATCTCCAAGATCCCTGGGACCCGTGAAGAATTGGTCTTCAGCAACCCATGGTTGCCACAAAAGGAGACTATGCTTGTCGTAAGAGGCGACTAACGGGATCGGGTGGTCAGGCTCGCTGACTTGGTTATTCCACGCTTGTGTTGGCGCCTAATCATGCTTTGTCTTGGTTAGTCCACTCTTGTGTTGGCGCTTAATCATGCTTTGACTTGGTTAGTCCACTCTTGTGTTGGCGCTTAATCATGCTTTGACTTGGTTAGTCCATTCTTGTGTTGGCGCCTAATCATGCTTTGACTTGGTTAGTCCACTCTTGTGTTGGCGCCTAATCATGTTCTAACTTCTGTTGGCTTGTTGTCTACTTAACTAATCGCCTAACTGTTGGCAATGCTTTATCTTGGTTATTCCGCTCATGCTTCGGTGCCTAATCATGCTCTAACTTGTGTGGGTGTGTTGTCTAATTAACTAACCTCCTAATCATGCTTTAACTTGTGATGGTTTGTTGTCTAATTAACAAAACGCCTAATCATGCTGTAACTTGTGTTGGTTTGTTGTCTAATTAACAAAACGCCTAATCATGCTCTAACTTGTGTTGGTTTGTTGTCTAATTAACAAAACGCCTAATCATGCTCTAACTTGTGTTGGTTTGTTGTCTAATTAACAAAACGCCTAATCATGCTGTAACTTGTGTTGGTTTGTTGTCTAAGTAACAAAACGCCTAATCATACTTTAACTTTTGTTGGTTTGTTGTCTAATTAACAAAACGCCTAATCATGCTGTAACTTGTGATGGTTTGTTGTCTAATTAACTAATCGCCTAATCATGCTTTAACTTTTGTTGGTTTGTTGTCTTCAACTAAACTTTAATTAATTAAAATCAAGGGCATCGACCTGGGATACATTAACACGCTCGTAGTTACACATGTGCACACACTCATACACAGAGGGTGTATTAAATGTAACACATGTTATAGTCAACCCAACAAAAAGTACTAAATTTGTATTTTACTGAGAAAGTGTAATTCCTAATATAACGTGTTACATTTCACCAGGGCGGTGTGGTAGCCTTACCCCGAAAATTCGGGTTCGATTCCCCACATTGGTACAATGTGTGAAGCCTATTTCAGGTGTCACTCACCGTGATATTGCTGGAATATTGCCAAAAGCGGCGTACAACTGAACTCACTCACACAGTTTTCAGCTTGGCTCAGACTGTTACAACTCCTTCTCGAGTGAAGCCAAGCACAGCCAAATAAATCACAATTTAGTTCCCTGTTAAAAAAAATATCAAATTTTCTTCCACAATCTTCATGGTTTGATCTGAAATGATATAAAATATTTGAGCGTCAAATATCTGATAAACACAAGAAGCAGGCGTCACCTGACTGCATTGGAAGCAGTCATTTAGGTAAACTATACATAAGATTGGGAATTTCGTTGTATTCCCAAATGATTTAATAAGTAAGTGAGTGAGTCTGGTTTGGCGTCCCTTTTAGCAACATCACGCTTGAAAATACGCGGAAATAGGATTCAACCTTGCCTTGCTCCATGGCTGTACTAAGCCCATGGATGTATAGTAACTCTGTCCTTTAAAGAGGCAAGTCTAGATAAGCGGGCAGTACATCTGACGCCACTGTTTGGTATTGTTCATTTGAACTATTAATTATTACCTTAGAGACTTGTGGAAGTCTAGATTCACCCGTGCGGGGAGCCCAACCCGATGTGTCGAACGCTTTAATGGCAAGGCAACCTAACCTGGTTTGGATTTGGCGAGTTTTTAATAGCATGTTCGAGGCATTGTGTTGGCGGAATTTCCATAGATTTTGAACGTATTTTGCTGTTCCTGGTGACGGATGTTCGACTCATCTTGGATACATTGAGTGGCTTCTCATCTCTACAGTTTTTAAAGCACTGTGTGCTATTTGTAGATAGTGTAATGTCAGTAACTGTGTCAAGTGATTACTTCATGCTGGACTGTTAAACCACTACACGTCGTGTGATAATTTACTACCTTGATCAACCCGTGATATCCAAATGAGAATTGGCCATCAGCAACCAATCAGACCAACGGGATCAGGTGGTCAGCCAATTGGTGTGTCTGTTTGTTGTTCTATCCCATACTCAGCAAAGTTTGGGGACCTACACATACAGTTATTATAACTAGGGTTCTTTTAATATCGAGAACCAGGCAATGGAGTGAGCGATCGCGTGAGTGAGTTTACTTTACGCCACTCTCAGCAAGATTGTCTATGTATGGCGGCGGTCTTTAAATAATCGCGTCTGGCCAGACAATCCAGTGATCAATAGCATGAGCAATTAGGATACATGACGTGTGTACCAAGTCAGCGAGCCTGACCATCCGATGCCGTAAAGCATCTCTTACGACAAGCATGGGTTGTTGAAGACCAATTCTAAGCCGGATCTTCACGGGTTCAGGTGGTCAGACTCGGTTGATACATGTCATCGCATCCCAACTGCGTAGGTTGACGCTCATGATGTCAATCACTGGATGGTCTGATCCAGACTCGATTATTTACAGACCGCCGTCATATAGCTTGAGAATTGCATGCGGCGTAAAACTAAACTCAATCAATCAAGCAAGCAAGCATATAGATGAACAACAAGGGATCTATCTTGTCCAGTTACTGATCACGTGATGGACATGAGCAAGCAAACAGGCATGGAGTAGGTGAAGCCTTAAATTGTTACAACAGGAAGAAGATAACGTTATCAGGCGCGACTGAAGCGTAGTGAACAACTAGGCCTGACATGAATACTTTTAAACTATACAAAACGGCATAGCCGTTTGCTTATATTACATTATACATTTAATAACTTAAACTTGTCAGAAAAGCGACAAAACAATTGTTAATTCCATGAGACATCTCTGCCAAAAGCAGATTCTTTTGTACCATTATCATATGAGTGCTGTGAATCACTGCCAAGTACAGTCCGTTTGAGACAATATGATACCGATGAATTGTAATCTAACACAAAAACAGACATAAAAGAATCAAACCAACGCGGACTGCAATAAAAACAATTGCCTAATTTTTGTCACCAAAAAAGTTGTTTAAGAAACTGTCTTCATTTATTTGTGCGTTTTCCGAGTTTGTTACAAGGGAGCATTGGCAACTAAAGGAACAGCGCGAAAAGCGAGATGCACGTGCGTTAACGGGTTCTCAACAAAATTATATTTGAGCTGGCGAGATGACACGTACCCCAGCTGCATAGGCAGTGCGCTGTATGTACTTCGTAATTGCATACTTGTGTCATCCGCTGTCATTTTCATCCGTGAAGAAATCGTAGACTTTGTAAATTATAGACTTTCATTTTCTCTCCCTTTGTCAATCAGCAGTAATCACATGTCTCTGACGTCATCGCGGGGATTCGTGTGGTTTGGTTGTTTTGTTTAGGCTTATCGCATTTTGGTATATTTTGGAGTTCGAGTTCGGGCGCGTTTGTGACACGCGGTTGTGACTGTGAGCTTGTGCTTAGCCAGAGGTGAACTGTGATACTTTGGCTAGATATTTTGAGTGGTATTGTGTTTTGAAATGTCTGGAAGGGTTTTGTACTTATCTTTCACCGTTTTGACAGTGGTTGTTCTGTCAGCTTTGTGGTTTTGTAGAACTGAAATGTTGGTTTATGTGTGGACATCGTTGGTGTCTGGCATACGCATGGTTGTGGAGTTCAGATTGGTTTCGTTTGGGTTTTCATTCAGTTCTTGAGTGACTATTGGATGAGAGTTGTGGAACTGCTTTTATATGATTACCCGCTGACATTTTCGCCGTTTATATACTGGGCTGTGATTGGCATTTGAGAACTCCGCAGTTGCATAACAGCCATTTGACCCGGGTAACAATTGTGGTTAATAAGTGTGCTGTTTGTAGAACAGTACTGGTGTTTGTAGGTACATTAACCCTTGTACTTCATACCTGCGACATTTGAATTGACGATTATCATTACTGAATCACAATTTGTGCACTGTTTTTGTTTTGAGGAAGTGTCCTTATCGCAACCTCCATGATGCTGGTGTACATTAATGTCGCCACTTTAGAAGATTTGATTCCCCTTCAAGAGTTGACACAGAGTGCTGCAGTCAACATCCTTAAACTGAGAGATAGCAAAGGTG